GCTTCAGATGCTCCCTTCCCCTCTCCCGCTGCCCCTTCTCCACTAAAAACAACAACAGAAACACCGAGAAAACAAAGAAACAAAAAACACACACAAAAAAATCCCCAAAACTGTGAACACCATGCTTAGCCTGCAGGACATACAAAAGCGGAGGGTGTGGCAGTTTGCTGACTCCTGCCCTAGGCCTCCAGGCCCTTCTTACGACCTTTATCAACACCGGTCATGCCGACGGCTCACTTCTCTCCCATTTGCCCTCCACAGCAGATCATAAACTCCAGGAGAGCTTCCTCACCACTTAATCCTGCTGCCTGGAACACTGCCTGACCCAGAACAGACAATTCACACGCACCGAACGCACAGCAGCTCGTGTCCTGCGGTCCCGCTGAGGTCAGCGCAGCCGGATCACCCGGGATCACCCGGGATCGCCAGGGATCGCCTGCACAACACCTTGTCGCAAGCAGGGACCACTCGGCCAGCCGCCCCCGCTCAAGGGCTCACTGTTTCGTGGCCGGGCCGGTACACACACAGATGTTCACATTACAAGATACTGCACTGAGACGGTCTCTAAATGGCATGGGGGCCGAACCCCTCATTCCATGGGGTCACCGGGCCTGGAGAGGTCAAGAGGCTTGCGTGTGATCAGACCAGGTGGCACAGGATGGGCCTGGGCATATGGTCCTCTTTTGCCCTTTCTGTGAGACCACCCAACCGCCCGATCCAAGCCATGGGGACCGGAGCTCCCACGAGGCATGTCTTCCCTCTGACAAGCCGAGAGCTGAGCCAGGGCCCGCCAAGTGCCGGAGCAGACAGGGGAGGAAGGGCCCTGAGCTGCCCGGCAAAGAAAGAAGGGAGACGTTGGGGCAGGGCTGCGCTGGCGGGCGCCGCGAGCCTCACCTGCAGGAGCTCCCTGGTGGGCTGCTGCTGCTTCTCCTCCAGCTGCGCGATCAGGCCGCTCAGGTGGGAGATGTTGCAGGAGAACTGGGTGATGGCGCCGTTGATGCTGTTGTAAATGGCCAAATCCAGCTCCTCGAGCCGGGCCAGGAGGCGGTACTCGTGCTCCTTCAAGGAGTGGTAGAGCTGCTCAAACTCCCAGACGATCTTCTCCCTCTCCATCTGGGTCAGGCTCTGTGCAGACGACAGGGAAGGGCGCTGACCGGAGGGAAGGCTCCCTCGAGAGCCTTCGTGTTTGCTCCCGACTCCCCAGCCCAAGAGCTCATCATCTCATCCCAGCATCCCGTTCACTAGCTCCCAGTGTCAGGCTTTACGGACTGGACACACAGTGGCTGAGAGGCGAGTCGCCCCGGGGATAATAAAGCTATCAGTCCCATGACAGTCATCCCAGATGTGAGGCCAGGACGGCCCACACTGCGAGAGCTGGTACAACCTCCACAGGAGCACAGGGCAGTCTTGTCCCCTGTGGTCGGAGAGCAGACGGGGCTTCCTGACAGGGGAAACGACACTGGAAGGACGGGCAGAGCCAACGATTCCGTCCAGCAGAGCCATGAGCGCAGAGGGGAAGCCAGAGAAGGTAAGAGGGTAAAACACCCGGCAGGCCAGGTGGGGCAAGACTTGTGGCAACTGGGAGCCATGGAAGACGCCGGGGAAGGGATGGGGTCAGCCAGGTGCCACGCGGCGGTGGACCAGGACACTCCATCCTCGGACCGGGACTGGGACCACGGCCCTGAGGCCCTTCCTGTGTAGCCCGGACCCCGTTTCTGGCTCCCCGCAGTGCTCCTTAACCACCCCTCACAGCTGTGGGTGCCGCTCCTTCTCCTGCAGATTTGTTTCTGAAGCCAGGGTGCCCTTCCTTCTCCCCCCGCGCCCCCCAACAGGACTCTAGGGCTCTGTGCTCAAGAAATCATCAGCAACTCCCTTTCTTTACTCCTGGGGAAGGAAGATTTTCTGGGGCACGGCCACATATGGCCCACAGAGCCAAAAACACTGTCCGACCCTTTCCAGAAGCTTGTTGACACTTGCTCTCAGCTCCCCTCCCCAAGCATCTTCCCATTAACGGTCCTCTCTGTCCCTCTCAGAGCCCTTCCTGAGCACTCACTGGACCGCACACACCTTCCTTCCAAGTCGCTTTGGTAAGGTTACAGCTCCCCTCAGCTAGAGCCTTTCAAAGACACAAGTGATACAACATAACCTTAGAAATGGAAAACTAAGGGGCACCTGGGTGGCTCAGTGGGTTAAAGCCTCTGCCTTCGGCTCGGGTCATGATCTCAGGGTCCTGGGATGGAGCCCCGCATCAGGCTCTCTGCTCAGCAGGGAGCCTTCTTCTCTCTCTCTCTCTGCCTGCCTCTCTGCCTACTTGTGATCTCTGTCAAATAAATAAATAAAATCTTAAAAAAAAAAAATGGAAAACTAAAGCTGAAATTGGCCGTAAAGAACAACTGATTCTCAGCTTCTAGAAGGTGCTGCTCCTGGCGGGCTGGTTTGTTGGGGCGGCGGGGCGGGGGAAACAAAGGGACAATTTTGCCCAGCGTGGAACTCCCTTGGACGGCAGGACATTTGGCATCTCTGCCCTCCCTCCCCAGTGACTCAGTTCCTCGAGTGACAACCAAAGGAACAGCCACACACCACAGGAGGGAAGGAGAGGGCAGCACCAGCCTTGATGAAAACCACAGGTCGAGTCCAACGTCCTCACTCCACAGAGGAGGAAGCAGGCCAGAGACGGTGTACCATTCTCCCCGTCTATCCAGCAGGGAGGGTCAGAACCAGAAGTATGTCCAAGTGTCCTGACTCTCAGGGAAGGGCTTTTTCTGCCCTGACAGTCCGCCCACAGGGGACACAATGGCTGTGTGTGCGGGGATTCTATGCAGATGCGCCAGGAGACTGTCCAACCGGCAGCCCTGTTTTCAAGCTCAGGGAGATGAGGTCTCAGGGAGGAGTGTGGGGGCAGAACAAATGGTGGAATCCGACGTTCCCTGCCCAAAAGTCCTTTACGACACCCCGGCCAGGACTGACAAAACCTCACAAGTTTGTTAACAGTTTGCTCCTCTTGAGAATTTCTCATATTTTATTTACTGTTAAAAAAAAACAAAACTGCTTGAGCACCTCTGTGGTGGATATAAGGATTTATTATAAAAGTCTCCATACTTTTTTTTTTAATTTTTTGGTTGTCAGAACAAAAGCCCCATATATCCCTATCACAAATGGGCACATCCGTCCCCTCCTCAGCCACCCTCAGCAGCCATCTGCAGAATGGCACCAAAGGAGGCTAACTGTGCCCAAGAACGTCCCCCACATCAGTGTCGTCAAGGATCAGCCCTGATCTACACAAGACTAGCGGGATAAACTTCCGATAGGTCAGATCCCCACAGGTTCCAACTCAGCTCTTCTAGCTCTTCCCCCCGAACGTGGGACTCCTCTGGTTCTCCAGGTGAGCTCCCCACTCCCACCTGGGGCTGTCTCACCCACAGCTGAAGTTCTGGGCGTCCTGATGGGCTAAGGGTAAGGGAAGTAATGTCAACCTTACAAAACACAAAGTGGCCTGCAGAAGTCGTGTCATCTGTGAATTCCAAATCCCCTTACCAAGAGTTCAGCCCGTGCCTGCTCCCCCTGTGCCCGACGCCTCTTCTTTAAGTCCTTCACTCTTTTCAGGTGGTCCAGCTGGTTCTGGATTTGCTCCTGAGAAAAGCACAAACAGGTGCACAGTTCAAGACTAGGCAGACCTTAGCATCAGCACGGCTCACGTGCTTATCACATGCAACCACTCCTGAGGCCACGTCCCTGCTTAGCGCCTGTCCTTGGACTTCCTGCCATCGGCAGGGCACAGGGGTCTCCACACCTCTCTGTGGCAGTCTGTGTGTATCTTAAACTGGTGGGTCACCTGCCCATGCCTGGACAGATACCGCACGGCTCAGTGGAAAGGTGAGTGGACTGTGAGGCTTAGAGCTGGGTTGTGGCTCTCCACAGACACATACAGAGAAAATGAGTTAACATCTCATTTTCCTCACATGTGGCATAGACGAATACCACCTTCCCAACCTACTCCAGAGTTACTGCCAGTGTAAAACAATATATCCAAAAGTACCATGAATACTAAGTGATTAATTATGCACAAACGTACACACATTTAAACATAACTGTATACCTTTCTGTCCTCCAGAGGGCAAATACACAGATAACAGAATGTTGCCTTACAACTGTTCTAGTCAACACTTTGTTTCCATGTCATTGTTTGGCCATGCGCCTCCACCGGTCCAACGGTTCACAAAGAGCTACCCACTCATTTGATTCCGTGTAATCTTCATGGTAACTGTGTAATCTGGTTAAAGGACTTCAGCGGGAAAGAGCTGCTCTTTTCCATGGGCTTCTAGAGCAGGCCGGAGCACAGGGAAGCGCTGGGGAAATGCTCACAGACTAAGTGATGGGCACCTGCGGGCGGGGCACAGAGCCAGTTGACGTCCGAGTGTGTTTTGTGTGAGATCACCCGTGATCCGATAGGAGCACGAGCTTGGCGGTGGGTGCCTGCTTTTACGCACATCCTTTACACCGTCAGGGAGCGGGCGGGTTCTCGGTGCGTAACGTGCCGGAGAGCGGGGAGACCCAGGGGCCCCTCGGGGGTGGGGGGGAGGCGCGGGGTGGGGGGCACTTCTGGCTTCCTCACCAGCTACAGGTTCTCCCAAATCTGAGTGCGGAGGCTCTGGAGCGGACAGAGAGGAAATGACGGCTGTGAACCACACGTCCGGCTCAGCCATTTTCTAGGCGGAAAAGAGGAAGCCCCTTGGCTTTCTCCTCCCTTTGTCCGCTCGCGCTCCCGCCCCTCCCTCGCCGCGCCGCCCTCACCTTGAAGCCCTCCACCGCCTCCTCGAGCGGCAGCACGCTGTGGCCGCGGTGCTCGCGGGAGCGGTCGCACACCACGCAGATGGGCATCTGGTCCTCCTCGCAGTACAGCTTCAGCGGCTCGCGGTGCTTCTCGCACACGCCCATCTCGCCCCCGGGCCCCGACGGCCGCTCGGTGCGCAGCTGCTTCACCAGCTGGGTCACGTTGGCCAGGTGCCGGTTGGGCCGCATGTGCCGCTGCGGGAAGGTCTCCCGGCACTGCGGACACGACACGTTGGTCTCCGCCGCGCCCCAGCAGCGGGTGAGGCACGCGCAACAGATGTTGTGGCCGCAGTCGAGCATCATGGGCTCGGCGAAGTACTGCAGGCACACGGGGCAGGTGGTCTCCTGCTGCAGGCACTCGGCCACGCTCCCGGAGGCCATGGCGCGGGCCCGCGGGGGCGCACGGGCATGGGCCCCGGCGCCCAGCTCTGCGCGGAGCCCAACTCTGCCGCGCGCTCTCCCGCTCGCGGCTTCCGGGCGGCGCGGGGAGGCGGGCGGGCGGAGGGCGGCGCCTGCCGGCCCGAATCCCGGAAGCGCGCGCGCGTGCGAGTCCCCGGCGTGGCTCGGGCCTCCCTGCGCCGCGGTGCCCCCGCCGACCCGGCCTGGGGGGTCGCGCGGCCCCGCCGAGCCCCGCGGCTGCGCGAGGGGTCGCCGAGGGGCGCCGCCGGCTGGACTCGCGCAGCCGGCGCTCGGGGCGCGCAGGACAACGTGGCCGCGTCCGAGCGGATCCCGGCGCGAGCGGAAGGGGCGGCCCCGGGGCGGGGCTTGGCGCGGGCCCCTATCGCGACCCGCCTTAGCGGCCTCGGGGGCGCACGGTTCCTCCCGGAGCGAATGGGGAGGCCCCGCCAGCGCCCGGGGCGCGGCGCGGCGCGCGGGGGCGAGCTCCTCGGGGTCCAGTGACCGCGGTCGACGGTGTCCCGCGGGAACGCGGTAACCCCGCCTGCGCGCTGCGGGCCCCGCGCCGAGTTCCCGCGGCCTGGGCCTGGACCTCGAGGCGTTTGTTGGGTGTCTTGCCGGGCGCCCAGGCCTCGGCGCCGCAGAGCGCGGGCTTGATGTGGGTGCGGCTCGGGAGACGCCTGGCCTTCCCAGGAGGCCGGAGGAGGGGAGTAGCCAACTGAGTTGCACCATTCAACATCCCTACTTGCAGGCCCTTGCAATTTTGTTTCGAAAAAGAAAGTTAATTACCTGATGGCAACATTTCTGCAAGACAGAATGAGTCAGACAAGCCCTGTTTGGGTTCTTCCCATTGTGCCAGAGCCAACTGGTGTCTCTTTTCCCGAGAAACCGGGATGAGCATTATAGCCCAACAAGGAGGGAGACCTCATCACATCTTTGAGGTTTTTAACAAGCCGGTGTTCATCCATTAGCGTAGAAAACACACAGTGCGTGCGGTATTGAATAGGACCCAGCTCGCGCGTGCTCCTTCCCGAAGCGCAGGAGAGCGACAATCCCACTCCAATAAGATCCAGTGATCCAGTAGATTTACCCACAGTTCCTGCCTTGGCATTTCCGGGTCTCCTTTGCTGTTTCCTCAGTATTGACTTCATCCTCTTGATTTCATTGAATCCAGACAGCCTTACCTTGCTTTATTTCTCAACTTGCCTCTAGGTACTGTCATTTCCAATATTACACCTTGACCAGAATGATTTCAACACGTGTCAGTTTGCAAGTGTGTTTTAGATGAGTTGGTATCAGGCTGGCTGTGAGCATGTCCACTCATTTCCCTATTGCAAGTCTTTCCCTCTAACCCTCTCACCTCCAGGGTGAGAATCATCCTTAGAAAACTCCTAAAATGCCCCTTTCATTCTCTCCCTTCTCACTCAGAAATCTTCATAGCCTCCTTTTGGGCCTCCAGGACATTGTTCAAACCCTTGAGCATGGGGTTAGCACTTCTGGCCTCCAGCATGAACTAACGCCTTCACTCTTCTCCTAGGAAGCCATCATCCCAACCCAGCCTGGTGGGGCTTGGGCTGTGCCCACCACAGTCCTCTGCAAGGCCTGCTCAGCAGTCCTGCTCCTTCCTGAGCGGATAGCCTAAACAAATGACCACACTGACCTCTCTCCTTTCCAGTCAGCCTCCCACGTTCACATAGAACCTCAGATTCTGAGTACTTATTTTCTGGGGGAGGACTTTGATTACCTTGTATAGAACACTCACCTCTCTCTCAAAGTTCTCCATCAGAGCATATGTTTAAATTAGGAAGTGTCTTTGGTTTTCATGTAGTTCAACATCTTGCTGACGCCTGAGATTTCCCCAAATGTGGGAAACTCGACCACATAATTTGTGGGAGTGGGGGACTGTGTTCTTCCTTTCCCCTGTTAAAAAAGAATAAATAGGGCGCCTAGGTGGCTCAGTCATTAAGCGACTGCCTTTTGCTCAGGTCATGATCCCAGGGTCCTGGGATCAAGCCCTGAGCCCTTCATCGGGGCCCCTGCTCAGCGAGAAGCCTGCTTCTCCCTCTCCCATTCCCTCTGCTTGTGTTTCCTCTCTCGCCGTGTCTCTCTCTGTCAAATAAATAAAATCGTAAAAAACAAACAAACAAATAAATAAGGAAACTGGTATCAGATGCTTAAGTAGAAACAGAGACTCCCCTCCAGACTCTCTCTGATCTCAATTTGTAGTCCCTCTAATCACACTGAAAGTCATCATTATTATTTATCTATTTGTAAAGTGACCAGCATGCAAACATAAATGCTAGTTAAAAGCAAGAGGGAAACTGCAATGAGCAGTCTAGACTGGGGGCCAATAGGGAAAGATGAGGACAGTGACTCATTGTAGGACGGATGTGCCTCCCCAGAGGCAGCTACTTCTCTTGCTACAGATTGCCATTGAGAACCTGGGCCCAGCATACTGCCAGATTTTCAGTCAAGAGAAGGCAGAAATCTGGAGGGTTTTTCTTTTTTTAAAGGTTTATTTATTTATTTTAGAGGGCTGGGAGAGCATGAGCTGGGGGCGGGAGCAGAGGGAGAAGGACAAGCTGACTCCGTGCTGTGCGCAGCCACCGATGCTGGCATGATGCTGGGACCCTGGGACCACAACCTGAGTCGAAACCAAGTTGGAAGCTTAACCAAGTGAGCCACCCAGGCCTCCCAGAATCTGGAGTTTTATATGAAACCTATTGACTTTTAAGTGTTGGAAACTAAAAATTGTACAATCATCTGTGCAGATGAGGTCAAGCTCCTGGCCTCCAGCCTGGGACCTCTGGTACACATATTTGTTTTAATAAGTTCTTTTCAATCTTAATACAGCATAGAAAGGACTGTTCACTATTTTATTGCCAATCTCCACTCCTTCCTTAATTTTATTCCAGATGGCAATATACTCAGTTCAAAGGTACTGCCCTTTGCGGCCGGCACTCAGCCAGGCTCACGAAGGCAACGCTACCAGCGGAACTGTGCCCAGCTGCTTATGGTCTGTCGCGCAGGTCCTGAGGCCTCCATCCAGCCTGGCCCAAAAACGTCACCAAAGGTTCTTGGTCTCATCAGGAGACAGAATTCAAGGACAGACACACAACATAGTGGATGAGAGACACAACCAGGAAGTTTACTCAAGTGAAAGTACCTGAGCACCTGCCTTTCGCTCAGGTCGTGATCCCAGGTGCTGGCATGGAGTCCTGCCTCGGGCATCTCCATCAGCAGGGAGTCTACTTCTCCCTCTGTCTCCCGCTCTGCCTGCTTGTGCTCCGTCTTTCTGGCAAATGAATAAATAAAATCTTTTTTAAAAAGCAGTGAAAGTACCTCAAGATGTGAGAGGAAGAAACAGAGAGATGGAGTGGGCTACAGGGGTGGAGAGGGACAGGGCAAGGGAGTGTGCAAGCCAGCGAGCCGCCTGCCTGTGGGGTTCACCTTCTGTCTTCTACCAACAGTTGTTAACTAGGGCAAGGATTTTTTGGAAGCAGGGATTCGATGCCTTTTCCTCCTCACTTGCTCAAGGGTTTCCTGTCGTGGCACCGCCATCTTGGGCCTGTCTGATGGGATCCGGCTTCTGGCGGACGCTGCCCGGACCTGCCTCTGACCTTCCCCACAGCCTGCCATGGCCTCCTCCTTGCTGGCCTCCAGGCATCCTGTTAGAGTCTAAACTAACTGTGAGCTCTAACACTGGGATTAACCTCTGTCCTTCCTTCTCATTCAGCCCGGAATGTGCACAGGATGGTTGGAACTTGGGCAGCTGCCCTGGACCATGAAGCAGTCTTGAGCGCCGGGAGCCAATTAGCGTGGTGTAGTGAAAGGTAAATAAGCCGGTCCTTATACACTACGGCTTGCGTCAGACTTCGTGTATGTGAGCGGGACTAAAGCCAGTGTCTTGTTTAAGCCTCTTATTTGGTTTGTCTGCATATGCAACAAAAAACTAAACCTAACTAATAAAATACAGTTATTTTTAAAAAAAATTTTTCCATATTTTTAAAAATTTATATTCAATTAACTAATATATAGTCTATTATTACTTTCAGAGGTAGAGGTCATTGATTCATCAGTCTTATATTGTTGGGTCCATGGTCAAAGGACCGAGACTGATACAAAGCAAAGGTGAAGCAAAGCTTTATTTCACACTAAGCATCAAGAATCAAACCGACCGGCCAGGGCCGTCTCTTGTGAAGAGGAGACCCCTCTCTTCTTTACAGACTAGCTTTTAAGGGCAAAGGCCATGTGGTTGGGCCTGGCCACGCACCGGTGACCAATGAGACTGTAACAGAGAAAGCTGCACAGTCCTGCTAGGTCACACATAAGTGACCAATTGAATTGCAATTTACCCTATAGTAGATATTTGAAGTCGCCTATCACTTTGGTCAGAATTGGCGGCCAAAGGGCACCCAAAGGGCAGGGCCCATACTCCTTGGTAGCTAGGGAGACAGTATGCGCCCCCACTGATTGGATACCTCCACCCTGCCTGAACCACCCTTGTATTTGGGCTTTGTTACCGGGGACTGGTTTCCGGGACTTGTTTTTAAGTAAGTCCCCTGGGGGGGGGGGGGCGCAGGGACAGGGTGGAGCTGCTCTGGCTAAATAGGCCCTTACAGCATAAAACCCAGTGCTCACTGCATCACACGCCCTCTATAATGTCCATCCCCCATTACCGCCACTCACCTCTCCTCCCGCAGCAGCCTGTTCGTTTCCTGTGATTAAGAGTCTTTTATGGGGGCTCCTAGGTGGCTCAGTTGGTTAAGCAACTGCCTTTGGCTCAGGTCATGATCCCAGGGTCCTGGGATCAAGTCCCACATTGGGTTCCTCCTCCTCTGTGGGGAGCATTCTTCTCTCTCTCCCTCTGCTGCTCCCCCTGCTTGTGTTCTCTGTGTGTGTGTGTGTGTGTGTGTGTCAAATAAATAAATAAAATCTTTAAAAAAAAAGAATGAATTTATATATTAAAAAATAAAAGAGTCCCTTATGGTTTGTCTCCTTCTCTGATTTCATCTTGTATTATTTTCCCCTCTCTTCCCTTATGCTCCTCTGTTTTGCTTCTGAAATTCTACGTGAGTGAGATCATATGGTAATTGTTTTTCCCTGACTGACTTATTTCTCTTAGCATAAAACCCTCTAGTTCCATCCACATCATTGCAAATGGCAGGATTTCATTTTTTGATGGCTGAGTAATACTCTACTATGTATGTGCGCGTGCGTGTGCGTGTGCGTGTGTGTGTGTGCGCGTACCACATCTTTATCCGTTCATCTGTAGATGGACATCTAGGTTCTTTCCATAGTGTGGCCATTGTGGACATTGCTGCTATGAGCATTCAGGTGCATGTGCCCCTTTGGATCACTACGTTTGTATCTTTGGATAAATACCCAGTAGTGCAATTGCTGGGTCATAGGGTAGCTCTATTTTTAACATCTTGAGGAACCTCCATGCTGTTTTCCAGAGCGGCTGCACCAGCTTGCATTCCCACCAACAGTGTAGAAGGGTTCCTGTTCACATCCTCACCAACATCTGTTGTTTCTCCTGAGTTGTTAGTTTTAGCCATTCTGACTGGTGTGAGGTGGTATCTCATTGTGCTTTTGATTGAAAATACAAGTATTATATTAATAAAATATTTTATTTCATTTTAAAGATTTATGTATTTATTTTATATAGAGAGAATGTGCACAAGCAGGGGGAGGGGCAGAGGGCCAGGGAGAGAGAATCTCAAGCAGATTCTATGCGGAGCATGAAGCCTGAGGTGGGACTTGATCCCATAACCCTGAAACCATGACCTGAGCCAAAACCAAGAGTCAGATGCTCACCCAGGTGCCCCTCAAATATTTTATTTCAAAATTAATTCCTACCTACTCCCTCTACTCAATCCAGCTACCCTAAGGGTACCTGTAATTTCTACTAGTCTTAGCTAAATCCAGAGGGCACTTTGCAGTCTTTATCTTAATGGTTTGGGGACATTTGACACTCTTGACCCCTCCCTCCTTGGACCCTTCATCCCCAGGGCACTAAACTAAGCAGGATTGACCCCATCACCCACGCTCTAATAAAACCATCTTTCTTGTACTGAAAATCTCTCTTTTTTTTTAAAGATTTTATTTATTTATTTGACAGAGAGAGATCACAGTAGACAGAGGCAGGCAGAGAGAGAGGGAAGCAGGCTCCCTGCTGAGCAGAGAGCCCGACGCGGGACTCGATCGCGGGACTCCATCGCGGGACTCCATCGCGGGACTCACTGCCAGGACCCTGCGATCATGACCTGAGCCGAAGGCAGCGACTTAACCCACTGAGCCACCCAGGCGTCCCTGTACTGAAAATAAAGAAATCTTTCTTGACTGTTGTTGCCAGACCCCCAACATCATACCACATTGATGTGGTTTTGGAATACAGGTGAGGTTCAGCGGGGTAGAGTCTGGAGCCCATGACCAAGAAGGAACTGTGGAGGCATCTTTGGTGCAAAACGGTGGTTTATTAAGGCATGGGGACCGGGCCTGTGGGCAGAAAGAGCTGCTGCCTGGGGTTGTGTGTGGGGCGGCTGACTATAGACTATGGGGTTTGGGGGAGGCAAGGAAAAGGGAGGGTTTGAAAGAACTTTCATATGCTAAAGAGGACCTGAAAGATACCAGAGGCCTTGCCATTGTCAAGTGAAGGTTGTTTTCCCCTGTAGCAAGGCATTACATTTGAGGAGATCCTGGAAGAATGTCCCACCCAGGAGTAGGGGGTGGGGGGAGGTCGCAGGGTGTCAGCTTCTGCTTTGTCCTCAGCTTGCCTCCACCAGCAAGACAAATCATCACACTGTCTTGAAAATCCTATTCAGAAAGTAATTACCTATAACCACTTTCCCTGAAATGTCTTTGGCCCCTGGGAAAGGACGTCGGGAAGGGCAGTCTTTCAGAGCACATATTGCTAACCAGTATGAACACTGGGGCTCCTATGCAAAGAAGGAGGAAGGTGAACGTGGGTATTAGCAGTTTCCGTCACAAGCCCTGAGTCAGCAATATCTGTGACCTAACTTTGGTGTCTAGGAAACACCTTCTTTTGCCTCTTCCCTTCCCCCCATGTCCCTGATGTCACTCAAAATAGTAGGTGAAATATGACCAGAGCCAGTCCTGTCCTGTTCCGCATCTTGTCCTTGTCTGCTTCATCTTCCAGCATCTTCCCTCAGCCCAGAGCCAAACATCACAGGAAGACAGCCTGAGGGGTGTGTGTGCGACGCAGGCTGAGTCACGGGGGCCACACAAGCTGTCATGTGCGCTGGGAGGGCCCACGGAATAACAGAAACCACTGTGCTGGGGGGAATCCCACGTTCTGGAGAAGATGAAGGCCAGACCTGTCATTAACCAAGGCCCAGTTCCTGACGGCACAAAAACCGTGAACGCAAGATGAGAAAACCTTCGTAACAAAATGAGAACCGTCTCCAGTGCAGGGACGGTAAAAAGCCTGCTCCTCCATCGCTCATCTTACCCCAGACGGATGAGCATTTCGGGGCAGTGCGCAGAAGGGGACAAAGTCGGGAACCCTACAGCCCCTCGTCAGCCTCTCGTTTCCTTTGCCATCTTGCTGATCTGGAAGGGATGGATGGGTAGCCAGGGGGAGGGGTGAAAAGAGCAGGGTGGAGGGAGGGGCTTGCCAGGTCCACAATTTTAAAATCTTGCCAAGAAAGGATCAGACTTCAGGAATCTGGAGGCATTTCTACATTTCTGCGTTGGGGTGAAAAGCTGGTGGACCCTTTGTATTTTTTGAATTTTGTGCCATGTACATGCCTTCATTATCCAAGGCAAATTAAAAGAAAATAAAGACACAGACGAATTCTCAAGGATATAAGGCACTCCTTTCTGCACAGAAAAATGGGTACTCTGCTTTAAATTTTGACCTGTCAAAATGGTTTTGCCTGAGTAAAGGAATGAGTTTTTTTTCAGAAATTGCCTTTTTGATTTTGAGAAATATTGGTCCATTTACAAACAAGCTCTGAAATTTCTTCTAACAGTAAAAGAAACGAGGTATTTCATTTTGAGATAACAGTCTCTCAATTCCTCAGCATCTGGAAATTTCTGTTATAAGACGTCATCCATCTTGCTATTTTCAGGCTTACTTACTATTCAAATCTTTTTGGGGGGAGGGGAGTCTAGTGAGAAAAACAAGGAGAACCAAAGTAGTTAAAGAGAACAAAGAGCAAAGAAAGAAATCATCAAAAATGTGTTAGTTTAAAAATGATGGTACACACTACAATGTGATTCTGTCATTAAAAAGAATCTATGTAACTGTACACAAAGATAAACTCGAAATCGATAAAAGACCTCAATGTGAGACAGGAATCCATCAGAATCATAGAGGAGAACATATGCAGTCACCTCTTCAATATCAGCCACAGCAACTTCTTTCAAGATATGTCTCCAAAGGCAAAGGAAACAAAAGCAAAAATGAACTTTTGGGACTTCATCAAGATCAAAAGCTTCTGCACAGCAAAGGAAATAGTCAACAAAACAAAGAGGCAACCCACGGAATGGGAGAAGATATTTGCAATTGACAGTACAGACAAAAGGTTGATATCCAGTATCTATAAAGAACTCCTCAAACTCAACACTCACAAAACAGATAATCATGTCAAAAAATGGGCAGAAGACATGAACAGACACTTCTCCAATGAAGACACACAAATGGCTATCAGACACATGAAAAAATGTTCATCATCACTAGCCATCAGGGAGATTCAAATTAAAACCACATTGAGATACCACCTTACATCAGTTAGAATGGCCAAAATTAGCAAGACAGGAAACAACATGTGTTGGAGGGGATGTGGAGAAAGGGGAACCCTCTTCCACTGTTGGTGGGAATGCAAGTTGGGGCAGCCACTTTGGAGAACAGTGTGGAGATTCCTCAAGAAATTAAAAATAGAGCTTCCCTATGACCCTGCAATTGCACTACTGGGCATTTACCCCAAAGATACAGATGTAGTGAAAAGAAGGGCCATCTGTACCCCAATGTTTATAGCAGCAATGGCCACGGTCGCCAAACTGGGGAAAGAACCAAGATGCCCTTCAATGGACGAATGGATAAGGAAGATGTGGTCCATATACACTCTGGAGTATGATGCCTCCATCAGAAAGGATGAACACCCAACTTTTGTAGCAACATGGACGGGACTGGAAGAGATTATGCTGAGTGAAATAAGTCAAGCAGAGAGAGTCAATTATCATATGGTTTCACTTATTTTCACTTATTTGTGGAGCATAACAAATAACACGGAGGACATGGGGAGATGGAGAGGAGAAGGGAGTGGAGGGAAATTGGAAGGGGAGGTGAACCATGAGAGACTACGGACTCTGAAAAACAATCTGAGGGTTTTGGAGGGGTGGAGGGTGGGGGTTGGGTGAGCCAGGTGGTGGGTATTGGAGAGGGCACAGATTGCATGGAGCACTGGGTGTGGTGCAAAAAACAATGAATATTGTTACACTGAAAAGAAATTAAATTAAAAAAAAAAAGAATGCAGTACTGATGTGAAAGGACACCACATTCCGTTTTGTTAGAAGCAAGTTGCAGCACCTTGTGTAGAATGACTCTTTTTTTAAAGATTTATTTATTTATTTATTTATTTATTTGACAGAGAGAAAGAGAGAGATCACAAGCAGGCAGAGAGGCAGGCAGAGAGAGAGGGGGAAGCAGGCTCCCCACTGAGAAGAGAGCCCGATGCGGGGCTCGATCCCAGGACCCCGAGACCTTGACCGGAGCCAAAGACAGAGGCCCAACCCACTGAACCACCCAGGTGCCCCTAGAATGAATTTTTTTGTAAGATAATAATGTACAAATGTACACACTAAAAAAATACATAGAGGAATATAACCCAAATCTGTAAGGGTGTGACGCATTGTGGGCGCCGGGGGTGGCTCAGTGGGTTGAGGGTCCAACTCTTGGTTTCGGCTCAGGTCATGATCTCAGGGCCGTGAGATCAATCAGTGTGGAGTCTGCTTGGGATACTCTCGCCTTCTCCCTTAGTAGCCCCTGCTCTCGCTCGCTCTCTAAAATAAAGTTTTTAAAAATGGGTGTGATGTATCAGAAGAACTGGGAGGAGGAGACGAGTGACGTCTACTGTCTAGGCTGCATTTTTCTACAATATATGTTTTATTTTACTACAAGCAAACACTGTTCAGTACAAATAATTTAAGGGTTATAAAGAGGGAGGGATTTTAGAGAGCTAGGCAAGAGACCAGAGGGTTACAAGCCAAGAAGTCGAGTCATTCTCTCTCCTCAGATTTTTTTCCCCCACAACTTAAAACTGTCCCTCTTTGTGCTCAAATCCTTTGCGGCTTACCCAGAGCCACCCAGGTGCCCCTGACCTGTCCTTCTAGACAGCAAGGGTTTGGGGGATTTTTGTTGAGTACAGGCACTTGGATTATTTTTTTTTTCATTAAAAAAAACTTTATTGTTTATAAAAAGGGAAAAAAAGACAAAATCTGAAACAAAAGAAGCAAAAGTATGTGTAATGGAAGGCGTTACATTTTGCTGTGATTTGCTGACAGATGATGGGAACTCATAGTTTTACCTGTTTACATTTTATTGGCACTGTACAGAAATTCTTTAGTATAGACATTTTTTTATGGCATAAAAGAAGTTAACCTTAAGTATTTTAACTTTTGTAAGTAATGTTTATCCAGAAACATTTGTCTAATGAAAACAAATCTGGACTTAGCAGAGACTTTATTCAAAAGGATAATCATAAGGAAGAAAAGGGACTCTTGAAATAGGGAGAAGTTTGTGCAAGTCCCTGAGAAGTTAGAGTTTTTTGGGATTTTTCAGTTTTGTTTTCTTGTTAGTTTTATTTATTTCTTTTCATGGTTAATTACATATTTCTTGAGCACGCATCATAATACAGCCCCTGGGGTACAACGATAAACAACAAAGCCATGTTCCTTGCCCTTATGGTTTCTATATTCAAGTAGAGAAGACATATAACTAAGCCACCAATCGTAACCAAAATGTATATGATAAAAATTTTCCAGCATACGGAAAGGTTGAGGGACGTGTATGGCGAACCTCCAGTTAGCCCTCGTTCAGCTGGAGAGCAGCCGGGAGCATTTTGCATAGACACTGATGTGAGCACAGTGCCTGGTGAACAGCCCAGCCAAGACGCCGGCCCCTCGGGA